AAAATAACCAAAAAGTAAAAATTCTAAGACCCCATTAAAACAAAAGGCAACTGTTCAAGTCCTACGTCCCCTTATTCGAAATGCATACCCCCCTCCCCCATACATAGAGTGTGGGAATGGAATAGGGCCTTTAGCCTTCTCTCCTAAATTAATACGAGTCTGCAGTTACCTGTTTTTGACATCATAAGCTATATTTGGTGAGGGGAACATTTGATTTAAATTTCATTGTTTAATAGTTTGCCCATTGCTAACAGAGACAATGCTGCTACAATGTTGCATTAGCAAAGCTGAACATTCAGGATAATTACTTAACAGCTAATCAGCATCAATAGAATCAGAATACAAAATGGCGCACTCTGATTTTTCTCAAACAGGTTCAGGTTAGTAGATGTTTTCCAACACTCACATATATTAATTAGTCATAATGCATGAGCTGTCATAACCTGACCTAACAGTAAAAGTTCTGTGAATAATCCCCATCTTGTTATTGTCTTCTAAATCCCATGTGACTTATCACATTGAATTCATTTTTTAATCATTTCACCTAAGGCAGTTTCATAATTTAATAAAATTTCTTAGAAAAGGGTTTACATTATGATGCATGAAAATTGAAAAAGAAAAACATGAGTAATCATTACAACTGTTTTATTCAGCAAACAAACAATTCAAAGGGAAAATAAATATATGATTAATGCATTTTATTAAAAGTGGATTTCACAATTTGTATGATATACAGGTAAAGCAGATATTTAAAAGGGCACGGTAGACACCAGAACCACTATAGCTTAATGTAGTGGTTCTGGGGATGATAGCCTGTCCCAGCAGCCTCAGCAGCGTAAACACTGCCTTTTCTGAGAAAGTGACAGCCACTGGAGGGACTTCCTGGGTTCCATCCTGTATGGATTGCATTCACTGCATCTCTGTGAGGAGTGCAGTGATTTGCTGTACATCCACACTATTCTCTTAATGTTTAGGTTTAATGAAGCAATGGATTGGCCAATGTAAGAATGATTGATAATCTCAACCATTGAGGCTTGAGGAAAGCACGGAGACCAATTCAGAAATGGCTAAGAGGTAAGTAAAACATATTTTTATTGCACACAGGGAGGGGGGACTCATCAAAATAATTAGTTGAACAGTGTAAAAAAAAAATCAAAACACGTTTGTATTCCTAACAACATAGTGTTAAACCCTAATTAATGCTTCTAATGGAACCACAGCTTTAAATGGGTCATGCCATCCCACGCACATTAGAAGAAGTTTGACAGGTAGCATCACAAGATCGACAGACATGCTGTTCATGTGCGCTGTGCTGATAACCTGCTCTCGTGAAGAGAGAAATTACCTGGCAAAAATTTGCAAAGCCATGAGCGTGTTTAATGGCCTACTTTTACTTCATGAAGACCCTTTCAATGATGTCCTCAGATACAGGCAATCAAAGAAAAAGCTACCAACAACAAGATAATTATTTCAAATTAGGACTGTCTTGATAGGTCCAGGACAGTTGGTAAGTATAATGTCAACTCAGTGTTTAATGAATAAACCATGAATAAACATAGCTTGTTTAATAACATACATTTAGTAAGCCAGTAATCTCAACACCAACATATCCACTTGAATCTACTGTGTAACAAAATGGTGAGCACACCCCATCCTGCTACCATAGCTAAACAACTTTTATAGATCATTAAGCAACAAATTGCTGTGATTATGCGTATTCCCATGTTTGTGGCTGGCTGGAGACATTTGTGATAGATGCTTTAAATCGATGCAGTCATTTTATAAAATCCAAACCTCTTATGGGATAGCGAGGCCCCCAAAAAAGCATTGGTTTCCTTCCAGCAATCCTTAAGCTCTATCACTAGAAGACGTTATTGTTTTTTTAAGATTTGGCCCTTTCTTGAAACCGACTAATAATAATGATGTCCAGATCGAGGCATGGGAACATTTTGGAATAATGTGCAGACTGTATTTAGCATGATTTATTACTCAGATATTATCACTAAAAGAGGCAAGGCTTGCTTAGAAAAAAATCCTTATTATATTCTTAATGCCAGACCAGAAATCCTGTGATTATTGAAAGTGCTGATATTTAAACAGCATTGTAATAGTACAATTAACCCAGGCGTATGGAACACTCAAGTGGTGCTAAAATGGGAAACAGTGAGACTGGTGACATTCTACGATTTAAATTGTAATATTATTTATACTATAATGTGTGTTGCTGTAAATTTGGTTTGTAGTCACTTAAGAATGAAATAAGTTAAAAGTCTAATGCTGAATTCACTTGAATCCCATACATTCTGTCAAATGAAAATAATTAAAACAATATAAAGCATGAATTTTTGTTCTAAAAGTTTATAATTTTTTTAACTTTCGTTATCTTGTCCTTGTTCTTTTGTGTCATCATACTAGAATGCCATAATAAATAAAGAAAGAAATAAAACTATTTAATAAATAATTTAGCATAAACCACAAAAGTATGATGATGGATTTATGTTGGTTAAGTATGCCTTTTTGAAGGAAATATGCATTAAAAAATAATTATAAAACAGGAGATTTATCATGAATACATCTTTATTTAAAATGCTGTAAAACAGTAATTTGTTGTGAAAACGATAAATTAATTAACCCTTTAAGGACCAAACTTCTGTAATAAAAGGGAATCATAACATGTCACACATGTCATGTGTCCTTAAGGGGTTAAACAAAGACACGTGATTCAGAAGATATCCATAGAACATGCCTGTTCCCATCAGTCATACGGTGTTGCCGTATTATTCCAGTAATGTAGATGCAAAATAATGAAGTATGGCAGTTTCTTGTGAACCCTTATTTATTGGATTGACAGGAATTTGCAGTGACACATTTTCAGAGTTCCTCCCTTTGTCAAGTATAACAGGGTTATTCAATAAAGTGATAAGTAGAGTTGAGCAAACCTGGACTGTAAAGTTCGTGTTCGTACCGAACATTAGGTTTTTTGGACCCCAGACATATCACTGTATGTTCGGATTGGAGTTCGGTGTTCGGCGATTTAATGGCACGTTTTCAAAGGCTGCAGGGCAGCCAATCAACAAGTGTTTGACTCTTGTGCCCTTAGAAGCCATCACAGCCATGCCTACTAATGGCATGGCTGTGATTGGCCAGTGCAGCATGTGACCCAGCCTCTATATATAAGCTGGAGTCACGTAGCGCCGCACGTCACATGAGCTCTTATTAGTGTAGGGAGAGGATGCTGCCGCTTTCAGGGACAGATTAGGAAAGAATTCTGCAAACTAGTACATTAGTGGGATGCACTTCATATCTGAGAGTCAAATAGAAGCGTCAAATACTGTGGTTACATCAGAGTTTTAAAAAGTAAAAAAATTTTGGTGCTAAATAGTACATTAGTGGAGTGCACTTCATATCTGAGAGTCAAATAGAAGCGTCAAATACTGCTGTGACATTGCAGTTTTAAAACGTAAAAATTTTTGGGTGCTAAAAAGTACATTAGTGGGGTGCACTTCATATCTGAGAGTCAAATAGAAGCATCAAATAGTGCGCTCACAGCACAGTTGTAAACATTCTAATTGTTTTGCTGCTAAACTGCTAAATAGTACATTTTGGGCTTGCTCTTCATATCTGAGAATCAAATAGAAGCGTCAAATAGTGCACTTACAGCACTGTTGTAAACATTCTTATTTTCTGGGTGTTAATCTGCTAAATAGTACATTTTGGGCGTGCTCTTCATATCTGAGAGTCAAATCGAAGCGTCAAATGGTGTGCTTACAGCGCATTTGTAAACATTCTAATTGTTTTGCTGCTAAACTGCTAAATAGTACATTTTGGGCGTGCTCTTCATATCTGAGAGTCAAATAGAAGCATCAAATAGTGCACTTACAGCGCAGTTGTAAAAATTCTTATTTTCTGGGTGCTAATCTGCTAAATAGTACATTTTGGGGCCTGCTCTTCATATCTGAGAGTCAAATAGAAGCGTCAAATACCAATATAACAATATTGTAATTCGGGGGCAATACCCTCACAAGTCAAACTGAGAGGTCAATTTATAGGGAAAACTGTTGCCTGGATACAATTCTAAAACAATTTCCATATGTCCTTTGCAGACTTTACGTGCTGGAAAAACACAGGTGCCAACTGCTGTGGCTTTCTGCAGTGTGCAGACCGGCAATGAGGGCAGGGTTGAGGAGTGGGTGGAAGATGATGTGGAGGATGATGAGGTCCTAGGCCCCACATGGAATCAAGGTCATGCGAGTGACGTGTGCAGTTTGGAGGAAGAGGCGCTGGTCACACAGAGGCACCAGCCCAGCATAAGAGGGAGCAGGTTGCAAAAGCGGAGCGGTCGTCGGCATGTATTATCTTTAGAATTCCCACAGTTGTCCAAGTAACAGATGGAGCAATAAAAGGAACCATAGCAGATTTAACGAGCCATTCGCAGTTTCGCAGTCCAGTGACCGGGACCCAGACACTGTCTGGGCGGCGGTCGGACGACCGGGACCCAGTATGCCTGATGTTGAAGTTAGGAGTCACAGTGTGGAATGGATTAGCAGGGTCTGGTGCAGGGTATCCACACGCCCCCTGGTGTTGAGCACCAGCGTTTGTGCGGCCACATACCAGGACCCTGATGCAGCTTCAGTAAAAAGAGTACTGGATACCAGAAGCCATCACCAGACAGAACTTGGAACATGATGTGACATTCACTGTAGCGGCTGTGCGTGCTTTCGGCGTTCTCACCATGCTGCTGCTCGTCTGTCAGCACTGCAGCGTAACTTTGGCCTTCCCGCTCACCTCCTCATATGCGACGTGCCCACAAGGTGGAACTCCACCTTGCACTTGCTGGAGAAACTGTGCAAGCAGCAGCAGGCGATAGTAGAGTTTCAGCTGCAGCACCCACGGGTCAGTCGCTCTGCACCAGACTTGCCCTCCAATTGATCAGAGTTAAAGGATTTCAAGTGGACCCATTATAATTACAGGGCCTCTAAAGAGTCCTGTATTGTTATTTGTCGTCACTACCTCCCCGTGTCAGGAGTGGGTCATTTGCGTGCCAGCTGCCTTCCTTGCATGTGGTAGCCGCTTGTCAGGGTTTCTGTACGGAATCGAACCCTGATTCCCCGTTACCCGTGGTCACCATGGTAGGCGCAGTAAATGGCCGTTCCACCTCCTTGCACACTTCCTCCTCATCTTTGGCCCCTGGCTGGGGTTCGTTGCCTCACTGCGTGCCTGGTCGTCCTCCATGAGCGCAGCAGTCAATTTGGCCTTGTTACGCCCACCAGGCGTTATTCCTCTGGCTCCACACAAGTCCTGTAGTGTAGGTCGCTTTAGAGCACTGTAGTCCATGAGTCTGTTAGCAGGGACATGGGATCCAGCCGCTTGCCACCAATTGAAGCGGGACCTGGGTAACCAGTGGTTATCCCCTTGGATTAGAATAGGTCAGACCCATTTCCCCAGTAACCAGAAGGGACACAGTTCCAGGATACAACGTTTGACATTCTTTATTTGGGTACACAACTTTGCCTCCTGTTGCCTCCTCCTCCTCCCCCACCACTTCCACCTACACTGCCACGGTGTATACCCAGATATATCAGAGCTGCTGCAGAAAATGCAGACCATCTGTGTGCGCTTTTGCAGTTCTCACCCTGCTTCTGCTCGCTTGTCTGCGCTGCAGCGTAACTTTGGCCTTCCCGCTCACTGCCTCATGAGACTGTGCGAGCAGCAGCAGGCAATAGTGAAGTTTCAGATGTAGCACGCACGGGTCAGTCACTCTGCGGAATAGTTTTCTTTTTTTGTATGTCCCAATATTTTGGGGGCTACCCCAATTAAAAAATATATATTCATATAAAAAACAGTGTTGGTTACCTCCTCCTCCACCGCTGCTTCCACCTACACCGCCACGGTCACCGCCTCCTCAACCTATGGGTCACTTAGTATAAACTACGTACACAATAGCAGAGTCTTGTGAAGGCCTTTTCTCTGTATTAGGAGTTGAGCTCAGTTTAAACAATGAAAGAGAATACCCTGCACTCCAACCCTCTCTCAAATGGATAATTCTGGTGATCCTCCTGACAGCCATGCTTTAGATTTTGATTTATGTTCTTCCAAAGCTAAAATCAAAGATTCCATCTAGTGCTATTTTATGGCTCAGCTGTTTTTTAAATTTTTATGTTATTTTAAGTGATTTCCATATCCACATTTGTTTGCAGTGCACTTGTCCTACTCTTACCCCATTTTACTTCCTTTTGCAGCCCTCTAGCACTTTCCAGGACTTTTTTAGAGGCATTTTAGTGCCCAAAAGTTTGGGTCCCCGTTGACTTCAATGGGGTTCGGGTTCGGGGTCAAGTACTGGGTCAAGTTTGAGCCCGAACCCAGACTTTTTTTCAAAGTTCGGCCAAACCCGCCGGACCCGAACATCCAGGTGTCCGCTCAACTGTAGTGATAAGTCAAAGTAAATTCAGAGTGAATTTCACATTTAAGCTGAAAATAGTCGAATTGGAAAAAAATGTTCTAATTTGTTGTTTTTTTAAATTTGGTTACACTGGCCTACAATTTGAAATTCACTTTGAATTCACTTTGAATTCTCACTTTAGTCAATAAATCTTTAAAGCGTTTTCTTTTTCTTTTTTTACCGCAGTGAAACAAACTAACAGGTTTATTAACTAGTGTGAGAATTCAAAGTTAAATCCAATATTAAGGCCAAAGTAGCAAAACTGATTGAGAGGATTTTTCTAGTTTGGCTATTTTCACCTTAAACTCGAAATTCACAATGGATTCTCCTTGAATCCTCACTTTAGTGAATAATTCAGTAAGATAGCTGTACTATAGCTGTACTATAGAAGCGAAACCAGCAAAAAATATTATACCAGGGTATCGTACATCTGGCCTGTGATTGGAGAAAAAAAACAAGAGTCAAATGGAGAGCGCGCAAGTTGGGGGTGTGGATTGATAAGTAGCTGACAGAAATGATTACACAAGCATGTGTGTTATATATTATTATTATTTTATTATTTATATAGCGCCAACAAATTCCTTAGCGCTGTACAATGGGTGGACTAACAGACACGTAATTGTAACCAGACAAATGGACGCACAGGAACAGAAGGGTTGAGGGCCCTGCTCAGTGACCTTACATGCTAGAGAGTGTATATCCATACAATGACATTATAGTTGTAGTGTAATAAGTATATAGGGACTCGATAATAAGGAGCAAAGTAGTCATAAAACGTGTAGTGTGCCAAGAAGTCCAAATTCATATTTAGTCCATTATCTTTGGTATTCAAGAAAATTATCATTCAGGACTTAAATACCTTCCACTCATTTGTATTTTCAAAGTTCCCTTTGTGTATTGTGTTTCTCAGTTCCTCAATGGTAGTGTCTTTCTGTGTGAAGTAGTGTCCAACTGGCGTGCAGTAATAGTCTTCTTCGTGGTGTGTTATAAAGTGTCGGTTGTTTATTCTTTCATTAAATTGTTGGATGGTTTCACCGTTTATAACATCGCTGGTCACATTTTCTGCATTCAATCATATCTACAACATTTCTTGCCAGTGATGGGTGAGGGGAAATAGCAAGATGCTACGAACAGACATTAATTAAAGCTCCACGGTTTGCCATATTTTACAAATAATTGATGGATACAGAAAACAATGTAGTCACTATTCTGTCTTTACTAATATATTTTTATATATATGTATATAGCGAAATTCTAACTCAATATATACCATTTTTTCCATCTTTATGAAAAACCAGGAGTGACAGCATCGTGTTAAAAAGTTAAATGTTAAAAAGTGATACTATCTTTATTTAAGTCTGAATAATAGGTAAAGCGAAGCTGACTAAAAAAGTAACAAAACTGTTCTTTCATTCTACTTTTGTTTAATCTTTACTAAACACATCCCTAACGAGGGACTTACAGTTCAAAATGCCCACCCGAGATTATGGTATGCCTGTGTTTTTTGGAGGAATTTTTTGCTGGTCAATCACTTCTGGTAAAGAAAACTAGAGTTGGGGATTTTATACATTTTGTAAACTATCTGTCCGTGGATCAATGTGTATTTTTCTATGTTTTTTCAACATTTCTCTTTGATCAGTCATGAAACCTGGTTGTAATAGGACAATTATTATGGAGAAAACTATTAATTTAGAGAAAAGGAAGTGTTTACATTTGTCCCTTAAGTCACCTCTAGTGGTTGTCCCTCAGAAAACATCTAGAGGCCCTCCAAGAGTATTATTTGTTAAAACTTTTGCAGGGTAGCAGCATTTTTCCAGTAATGCCAGATCAGTCATTCATCCTTACTAGGTCTAAACTGGAACAAAAACAGAGAATATGAGAACTCTGAGAACGTGCAAAAGCTTAGAGAAACTCAATAGCTTGAGTCCAGAACCAAAATGAAGGCACGTTCTCTCTGCATGAGAAATACAGCAACAGTTTCAGACTGCTTTGGGGCTTGTCAGCAAGGTGCATTGCAACAAAACTGAGAATATGAGCAAAAGCTTAAAAAAGTCTCGCCCTAAACTAGAAGGTAATCCAGAAGTGGATCCCGTGCTCACTGTGCCTGGTAACAGCTACATCTCATTGGCAAGGCCCAAAAAAGGCTGAAATTATAGTCCGGGGTTGCTCTCTGATTTCAGTTCTGGACTGCCCATACGGGTGGGATCAGTCTGATATGCAAATGGTGTACTTTCTCTTTGTAATGGCCCAAGTGAGCAAAAAACATTTTGAGACCTGAGTGTGGGACTAACCAAAGGGCAAATTACTGAGTTTCTCTATGTTTTTGCTCGCTTTTAGAGTTTTCATATCTCTGTTTAGGTCTAAATTGAGTATCAGTGCTTAAGGCAGAATATATTCTCTGGTCATATTTGAGAAGAAGAACTAACTGATGTATCCCGTTTTTTATTATAGCTTTCAGTCCTGTGAAAGAATAATAAGGCACCACACTCATTGCCAGAGGTTGGCAATAGGCTTTAGAGTTTCTCAGTGAAATTTATATAGAGATGCCCAACAATAACCTCCAGAGATGGATTTAATTATACGATTAGGAACGCAATGCTATATACGGTCACATATTACATAGTTCGAAAAAAAAATACAATATAGTAATCAACAGTGTAACATTACAGCACATTAACGTAACCTTTAAATAGATTACCTGGCTCCATCCATAGAGTATTCCAATGGTGTCTCTACCAGCGGCATGCTTACATGGGAGAACCTTCACCAAAACATGGAAAATATGATATGTCTCTCATAGCATAATGTCAACATCCTGCAAGTATTATGGCTGTGAAACTGATATATAATGCACTGTAAAAAATAATCATTTATCTTCACATCAAGCAAAACATGATGAACGTAAAGCTAAAATAATGGGTGTGAAGTCCAAAACGTTTCCCTTAAACAACGCTAAACCGGTTCTAAATAAAAGGAGAGAAGATAATTGTGATTACACGTGTGCGACTTGCTCTTTTGAAAGATAGTAAATGGTGTTCTGAAGTTTTGGAGTTTTACAATATTTGTCTATCTTGACTAGTCGTCAACCAAGTTACAGAGTACAAGGTCGCAATTCACTGTCTTTATGTCTAGTAATTAAGGGAGATAAGAGCCATTAGTGTTTCAGTCACTACAAAGGGAAGGAAACACGCTGTACAGGTAGCATTTCATTCTACCCTTAGAGGTCATCTAAAATGTCACCATTGCATTAAAATATATGATGCATGCATTTTTTTAACTGTGTTCTAATTTAACTTTTTATACATTAGAGATTTCAAAAGTGATCTATTAAACTGAGAAGGGAATCCAATTCTGTGATAAAAGTAGTGCATATATTGTTCACAAATGTTCTCTTCAGCCATACAATGTAAATACAGCAAACTTAATTACAGTTATCGCTTCTTGACAAAAGAGAGGGTGCAATTGTCAGAATAAAAGGGCAGAGTGTTTAGAACATCACAGACATGCACCGGTTTTATCATATCACCGTCTAACATAGATTTGTTAAACATCCCTTTTTTGTGACTGTTTTGTGAAATTATCTTTAACCATCATATAGCACCATCTGTTTTTTTATAGTTTAAATTATTTTATATCTATGTATTTTAGGTGAATGTATATGTTAAAGTAATAGAATACTTTTATTCTGTATAACAAGTTCTCTCTTTTACTAAATGTTTGCTCCAATAAACAGGACCCAAAATGTGATGAAACGAGCAATGCATTGGGCACTTACTGGGTTAAACATCTATCGAG